TCTCTCAAGTTCCTAGTGTCGATTTCACTGACACTTTCAGCCCCGTTGTTAAGACAGGCACTATCAGTACGGTTTTATCTTTGGCCACCTCACAAGGATGGGACATTAAGCAGCTAGAGGTTCACAATGCTTTCTTGAATGAATTTATTCAAGAAAATATTTATATGAAACAACTCTCTATGGTTTTCGTCAAGCCCCTCGGGCTTGGTTCTCTCAACTCAATAGCAAACTTCATGATCTTGGCTTCATAAATTCTCAGTGTGATCCCACTCTCTTCATTTACACCAAAAATAATATTTCTCTATATATTTTGGTGTATGTTGATGATATTATTGTTACTGGTTCTTCTACTGCTCATATTTCTTAACTCATTTTGGATCTATCTTGGAGTTTCTCTCTTAAGGGCCTCGGATCTCTACACTATTTTCTTGGAGTAGAAGCTCATCAAGACAAGACTAGGTTGTTTCTTTCTTAGAGGCATTACATTTTGGACCTCCTACAGAAAACTAATCTGGCAGCCTCTAAACACTTGGTCACGCCAATGGCTCCCACGTCCAGATTGTCTAAATTTCAGGGAGACCCGCTTCCTGATCATACTCAGTATCGTAGCATTGTTGGGGCCCTACAGTATGTTACACTCACACGACTAGATGTGGCATTTGCGGTGAACAAGGCTTGCCAATTCCTTCAAAACCCGACCAATGATCATTGGACAGCAATGAAATGCATTTTGCGTTATCTCAAAGGCACAATTGAGTATGGGCTATTTTTTGCATCTAATTCTCTTGGGTATTTAGTTGTTTTTTCAGATGCTGATTGGGCCAGTTGCCCTAATGACCGCCAGTCTCCTGGCAGCTATGGTATTTTTCTTGGGTCTCATTTAATCTCCTGGAGTGCGAAGAAACAACCCACCATTGGCTGTTCTTGCACTGAAGTCGATTTTTGCTCATTAGCTAACACCACCACCAAATTACTACGGCTTCAGTCTCTACTACAGTATTTGGGTATTCGTCAATCTGTTCCGCCTATTCTTTACTGTGATAATATTGGCGCCATGTATTTGGCAGCACATCCGGTGTTTCATGCTCGTACCAACCATATYGAAGTGGACTTTCATTTTTTGCGTGATCATATTCTTCGTAAAAATCTGGATGCCCAATATATTTCTACTAATGATCACCTGGCCGACATCTTTACCAAAGCTCTTGCTCCAGCTCGATTTAATTTTCTCTGGTCCAAGCTTCATGTGCTTCCAGCCCAGTTTCGCTTGAGGGGGCGTATTAAGGAAAGCTCTCCAAAAGGTAACTTCACAAGTCTGACAATTTCCAATGGAGGCTCTTAGTCCAGCTTAGCAGCTACCAGTAAAGGATCTTTAGCAACTGCTAATGAAAGATCTCCTTCAAGAATAACAGTTACTAATGAAGGCTCTCATACAGATTTGGCAACCAGTAAATTAGAAAGAGAATTAATTAGCAATCTTTGTACATAGGCAACTGCCTATTCTATTCTTAGTTTCTTTTATTATTTTTGCTCTTTGTACATAGGCACCTATGTGGACATCCATTCGAGCAGTCGCTGATGCTGAACTTCTCTTGGCTCATTTGTACTTCTCACATTGAAATGTGCATCTGACATTACTCTCTCTCTCTCTCTCTCTCTCTCTCTCGGGATGGGGCTCTGAATAGAAATTTGGAAACTTCTCTTGGCTCAGTTTGTAAAGAGTACAAATACAAATATGTATAGTGCAAATACATAGAAAATAATACTAAATATAAGGTTTTGCACTCTGCATATTTACATTTGTACTCCTTCCAGACTAAGCCTTTGAGATCCAAATTGATTTGCTACATGGAAGGTTGAAGCTCAACAATAGATGATCCAACTAAAAAACTAACACACACACATACACATTGGGAGTGGGTTTGTTATTTAGGTTGTTTAATGAATAATGAGCTTCCCTAAAACAGCTAAGTATCTTTCATGTATAAGGTTGACATGGAATTGTGGGTTGATCACTTGGCCAATCAAACAGAAAGAGAAGGCCTGACGAAATTTTGTGTAAATGCATGGGAATTAGATTTTAGGAATGAGATAGACTTGACATGAACTTTAGTTTCTGCCCTGATGAAAATTGAGCCTTATAGTTGGGAGAGAAAAACATCCTTCTTGGAAACTAATAAGGAAGAAAGAGAAGGATTGGGATTGTTGTCAAATACTCCCTCCCCCCTAGAGAGAAGAGAAGAAGAAGAAAGTGAATGTGAATGGTTGAATGCATGTTCTACCTTACTGTTTTTATTGTTACTAGTTAAAAGGAAGGGAAAGTTTCTTAAACTACCCCTAAGTTTTAGGAAATTGATTTAGTCACCCATACTGTTTAGAAATTGACTTAAAGTACTCCCATGTTTTCTGACAACCGACTAAATCCTCCCCTACCGTTAGTATGCCATAACAATCCGTTGGCATGTGATGACACATGACTTATATAATTTTTATATTCCAAACATACCCTTTTGGCCCTGGATGAAATTTCAATCATGGTTTTCAAAACCGGACCAGACCGGTTGACCCATAAACTAATCATGGACCTAGGTCCAGTTTTAGACCTCAAAACTGTTTGACTCGGGGTTGGACCGGTGGTTGGATCGTTTGACCCGAGAGCTGGTGGCCAAAATGGCTCTGTTTTCGATCCGGCTTTGAAAATCATGATGTCAACTTTACCCTTTCTTGTTCTTCAAAATTTCAAAATAAAACTGATTGGATTTAAATTTTCAACCCTCCATTGCAAAGGAAGAGCACAGCCATGGGCAGAGACACCCTTTAATCTTTCTTTTTCTACAGAATAAACACTTTCCATTTTGTCGTTTTCTAAATACATACTCTTTCATTATTAGTAGGGTCTTGCCTAGTCATATGAACAACAACTACATGGTTGGACATGGAAGTTATAATATGCAAGAGTTTTGTATGGGTCACAACTCAAAGCACAAATTCTTTGTTTCAGAATTCAATTACTGTGCTATATCTGCTGCCACTCTCTGTGCATCTGCAAAAGCTCATAACAAGCCTGGCTTGGTGAAACCCACATTATACAGTCCAGTCTTGCCTTTCCAACTGTCTAGAAATGGCATATTTGGATAGCCGTCTTGGCTGTAAAAGAATTCTCCTCCTTAAGCCATAAAGGTACATTGCTTCTGTATCCGGTTTCTAGAATTACCGAGTCAAATTCCAGAACTCTACCATCAACAAACTCTACACCTTTTGGTGGTGAATCTATGGATTCTAAGAACTACCTTGATTTCTCCATTCTAGATTTTGGCCAGAGTACTGACATCCATAGCTAGGGTCTTTCCAGTAGTCATCTTCATTTCAATGGAACCAATTTTGGGCATTTTAATCCCAGTTTTATAGGAAGTCAATTGAGAAACCACATTGAAAGACCAAATGTTGATCTTCCCAATTTACATACACTTCCCCTGTTGCATTTGGTCAGAAATTTGTTCATCTTTACTTATATCCAACTTCTAATAATGGCCTCAATGCCTCTAATGGGATTTTCTCCATCACTTTGGGACCTTATACTCTTCTCAACAACTTCAATGCTTTACAAATTGCTGAGGCTTTAAACTATGATGTCATTCTTAAAGAGTTTTCCCAATCAGCTTGTACTGCTATTTCAATGTTGATTGTTGTGAGCGTCAGAAAATGGCTCACTTAAGTTGAATTGGAGTCGCCACCCATCAGTTGAGGAAATGGAGGTGATGRGACCTCTAAGAATGGTTTCAAAATCATTTATCGTTTTATATAGTGACTCCAAAGCCTTGGCACTGACTACAATAATCTGGGTAAGATCGAATGGGAGAGGGAAGGGGTTAGGCACCCCTCTCCCAGGTCCAATAGGTGGGGCCCACATGGTATCCCAAATAGGCATAATCAYAAATACGAAAAAAGCAAATATTTAATCCATAAAAAACTAATTAATATCAAAGGAAGAACAAATCAACATAAAAGAAATTCTTCCTTATTTTTACTTATCTGTTTTTATTTTTTTTTATTTTCTCTAATTAATTAAAATATTTTTTATATTTTTTATTTTTATGTTTTTTAATTATAATTTTTATTTGTATAATTTTTTATTTTTCTCTAATCTTTATTCTTTATCAATTATATTTTTTATGAAATCCTATTTGTATATTTTAGGGAATTATTATTTTGTTATTTCTTTATTATTTTTTTTTATTTTCTTGAATCTTTTATGTTTTTCTATTTATCTATTTCTTTTATTATCTGTATTTTCCTTTTTTTAATTTTATCAGTTATTATTATATATTTTTTATTTTTCTTAGTGTCTTATTTCTGTGCTTATTCATTGGATTTATCATTTACTCATCATATTCTATCATGAAATTTCTATTATTATATTTTCTTATTTATTTCTCTATTTTCTTCTTTTTTTTTAAATTCTTTTTAGTCGTTTTTTTTTTTATTTCACTATTTTCTCCATCATTATTCCAATTAGCTATCTCTTATCATAAATTCAAGAAGCAAAATCAAAACTATATTCAATTTGAGTTTAACTTATCTGGAAGATCACAAAAGAAGTAGCATAAGCAGAAAGGGAACTGATAAAACAAGCTAATCAATATATTGGTATCAGTTCTAAATGCAATATCAAAAGATAACTAATCAGATTAACATAACAAAGGAAACGGGAATACTGGTAAGACCTAACTGTTTTTACCTACACAGAACCTAACCTTCACAACGGAGAAATAAGAACATGCTGAAATGAATAACAACCTAACTAGCGAGGGGAGCCCGTGCTCAGCACGGGCGAGTAATACCGAGTAAGTGGGAGAATAAAAAAAGAACAATAAATGCTGTAGTTGTGGGATCCGAATCCGGGTCTCTAATGTAATGAACCAATTAATCTATGAAAAATATATATTACATAATAACAAAGAGAAGAAATACAAATTTTATATGCATGAGTACAGAAAAGATGTTACAAAGTTATTAAACATATAATTCCCAAAAGAAATACAAATTTTATATGTATCATTATGAAACCATAACTGCTTACAAATTACAAGTGTCTAACTAATAAATCAAATAAAAAACAATCAAAAGAAAAATATCACACTTTGTGGTATATGCACTACAATATTATGTATTAGGTATATAGCTAGTGATCCTGTGCAAGCTCTGAACTCAAAAATTCTCCTTGTGGAAATCAAACTTGGTCGTCGTCTTCCTAGAGAAGTCCTACGCTAACTGTCGTAACTCACCCATCAATCCAGGAGCCCGACAGTAGGACACCCCTGCAACAAGTTAAAATTAACYCATCGTTAGTTGGTTCTAAGAAAGCTCAGTGATCATGAATGGAACTGTTCTGTGTTTAGAGTTCAGACGACGGAAGGGAGCTATTTAGTTGCTTATCAATGCGCTGATCAATGCGGTTAACGGCGACGTGCTTGAAAATGTTCCGCCAGTTTGGCCTAGCAAAGTGGGTCTTCACCCGTGTCCCGGACACAATATCTACTCCGCTCTTGGCGTGGTGGAGCGATTGGAGCATGGCAATGAGCGTCGATCGAGCATCACCTTCCTCGTAGACACTGGTGCAGTAGTTGTGAAGCTCGATGACCCCATCTCGGTCGTACTCTACAACCTCATTCAGTACTCCCCCGAACCACTCAAATGAGCCCTGCTCACAGGTGACCCATTAGAAGTAGGGTCGTTTCGTGGCAAAAGGTTTCTTCTTGCTGGCCTTGGATCCAGCTTCTACAACACCTTCCTCAACACCGTTCTGTTGCTTGATTTTGTTCATAACGTCTTTAACTATGCTGGTCAGTGGTGTGGCTCCAATCCCCAGCCCAACAAGGAGCAGGACATCATATTCTTTGTAGTCCTGTGTCGGGGCTCCATATGGGCCATCGATCAACAGTCTCGGCAACCTGCTTGATTAACAGACATCATGTGAGTTTCAGAGTTAGAACTGAAAATTAAAGCACAGAGAACACTCGTGGAGATTTAGGTGGATTAGGTTTTTTAAAATCAATAAGGCTTTGCCTATGGAGCATATAGTTTAACATGAAACTCAAATAGTAAAAAAAAAACAATCTGTTAGACTTCTCTTGGGATGAAGAATTTGCCAACTCTATTTTCAGAGTAGTGGAGATAGAGAGGAAGAAAATCTCAGTAGGTGGAAGTATCAACAATTAGGGATTATTAAATAGTAAAAATTAGAGCTTATTAAAGCAACACTTAAACTACCACTCTCACTGGTAATAGATGTTATAAATGGAGAAAAGCAAATGAAGCTATTATTAGCAACCCATGAAGCAAAAATCCTATAAATGGGATATGCAAATTAGTGGTTATAGATTAGAAATTTACTAATTTCATAACTATCTAAACTTGTAAGTTCAAGCCATAAATAGCTACAATCTAACTTCACCCAGTAAGCACAAGTCCTGCAAAAGAGGGAAAAAATCCTAGCTAAAAGGTAAGAAAAAATACTGCAAAAAATGAAAAGAAATCAGTAAAAGTATAACCTCAGGCTTAGAGAAGAAAGAAGCTCAAAAAATAGCATGGGGATTGGTTCTCATTAGCTATGAAAAATGGCCAAGAAACCAAGACCTAACCGAAAGAGTATACAACCATGAAAAATGCAAAGTCCTCTCAAAAGACCCTCTCTAAGTTGGAGGAGGGAGAGAGTGGGAGATGCTTAACCAAAATCCTAGAGTCAACCACCACCAAAAATAAAAAACATTAGTAATAGGAAGGCATTCTAAAAACTAATCGAAAACCTAAATGACCACAATACATCTAGAAAATAAATAGCAATAAACCAATAGCGTCTCCAGCACATTAGAAAATTAAATTGAAGAAATCCAWTGTTCAGAGATGATTCCTATGTCCTATTTCACATTAAAAATAACAAAAATTTAGGATTCATAGGAGAAACATCTCCATTTGCTTTGTTTCACATCCAAAATACTTGAGACTCTAAATGGAAAATTACCAGGAACCCAGAGCTAGACCAAGAGGGCTTGCAATAAATGGAACGTAACTTGAAATTCCAAACCTAGACGAACCCTGCAAGACAAAACTCAATAAAAAGAAAACTAAAAACCAAGAGGGCAAGCAATAAATGGAACATTACCTAGAATTCAGATCAAACAACAAGAAAAAAAAAGTCATGAACAGAACAAACTCTCTTCAGAATTGGCCTTCAACTCGGTAAACTTCTTAACAACGCGAGGGAGGTGTTTCTGAGAACAACTCATAGTGAAAGCTCTAGGGATGATGAATAAGATGGATTTCTTGCCCTTGGTGAGGTCAGAGACAGTGATAATCTAGAGTGATTTGAGAGCGAAAGAGAGCCACATCCGCAGCAGAGACGACATTGTTGCCATTGGTGATTTCAGAGACAATGATGGTTTGGAGTTAATCGAAGGAGTTGAAGAGAAATGGCCTTCGCCTTTATTTATGCCCAAGTGAACCAAACCATGAGCAAGAGACAATGATGGTTTGGAGTTAATCGAAGGAGTTGAAGAGAAATGGCTTTCACCTTTATTTATGCCCAAGTGAACCAAACCATGAGCAACCATGGATTTGAGCTGGTTGAAGGTCAAGGCCTCGCCGGATTCATTGGTGATTTCAAAGACAATGATGGATTGAAGTTAATCAAAGGAGTTGAAGAGAAAATGGCTTTCACCTTTATTTATGCCCAAGCGAACCAAACCATGAGCAACTGTGGATTTCAGTTGGTTGAAGGTCAAGGCCTCATCAGAATTAGCGTCCACGAGAGCAAGCTTGTTAGAGTAAAGAAGAGTTCCTGAAGAGAAAAGAGACTTCTCACTATGATTGAGAGAGAGAGGGATGAAGGTTAAGGCCTCGCCGTAATCGGAGTTCACAAAAGCATGCTTGTTAGAGGGAGTTGATGTGTAGAAGATAGACATAAAAAAAGAACAATTACAGGCCTTACTTGACTGAATGTGGCCTGAGATTGAGATCGACTACTGCAAATAGGAGAGTTCTTATCATCTACAACGAATGATGATCGATGCAAAGTAATCGCTAGAGGAATGAGAGAGGTCGATCATGCTTTGTGTGGGGATGCTATTCGGGTTCAACAGAGGAGCTGAATAGCCTAAATCACCATTGCAACTAACCTCTAATGCGCCAACAAAGGACAAATTATCATCAATGTATTAGAGGAATCACAAGTGATGACCGGAGTTGATGCTACTGTCATCGAACAAAAAAGGTTCTGGAAAATGGAGATGAATTGCTGAAAATTGCACAAATGCTGAATGAGCTTTATTGTGTTTACCCCTTTTCACGACTGAAGAACAGGGGTGAATGATGATCTTTGAGTGGTGCTGATGGGATGAACGAGGGGAAGAAGAAAAAAACAAAAGGGAAAAGGAAAGAGAGGGAAGGAAGAGAGAGACATAGAGAGAGAAGAAAATTGAGACAATTAGGGAGAAAGCAAATCACCGCTGTTGTGAGTTGCAACAGAAATCAGGAAGAAACAGAGAAGGCAGAACGAGGAGGAGAAGAAGAAGAAGAAGAAGTTGATGATGATGATGATGACGATGACGATGACGACGATGATGATGGAAAAGAAAAAAACGAGAGAGAGGGGCTGGAGGTGGAGATTGGATTAGGTTCATCACCACTTGTGGTTCGGTTCTTGCAGAGGTTAGGGAGAACGAATGGTAGGTTCGGATTGGACCAGGATCAGGCAGATTTGGAAGGATAGTGGTTTAGTCAATCTAAAGCCTCAAAACAAAATCTTTATGTTATGGAGGGGTAAACAGGGGTATTTTAGGCTAAAATTTTACAGGTGGATAGAGTATCCTAGGTTGATAGGTAGGGTCAGATTGGCCCGACTAGGCCCGGATTAGGCAAGTTTGGGGTTCGACCAATTTAAAGCCTTAAAATAGAATCATTTTATATAAGAGGACAAATGAGGGTGGTTTTGGTTGAAATTTTGCAAGGTGAGGTTTTGGGGCATTCTGGGTTGAATGATGGGGTCAGATTGGCTTATTTATGCCCCAATCAAACAAATTTAGGGTTTAGTTAATTTGAGGCCTTAAAATGGAATATTTTTGGATGGGAGGGCAAATAATGGTGTTTTTGGGTTGAAGCTTGGTAGGTAGGAATTTTGAGGTGTCCGGGATCTAATGGTGACGTTTGGTTGGTTCTAGAGGATCATGAATGTGGGAATTTGGGTTAACGAGAGGATCCAAAATGGAATCTTAGTTTGATGGATTTGTGGTGCGATATGATTGATTTAGATATGCTAGGATCAAGGGAATCTGGGTTGTAGGTTTTCAGGCCAATGAAAGGGCTCAAATGGAATCTTTGTTTGATGTAAGGGTAAATAAAGGAATCTTAAGTTGAAATTTGATGGGTAGGTGTTTCGGGAAGTCTTGAGTTTGATGGTGGTGTTTGATCTAATGGTTCTATTGTAGATGAGTGTTGATCAGGGCCAACGGATTGGTATAGGACAGATTTAACCATGAATCTATGGGTGTTTGGGCTACAATTTGGGTTCTTTAGGTTTTTTGATGTTTCAAAAAGATTGGAAACGTCTAATTGGGTGTTTGGGGATTCAAGTGGCGACCGAGCAAAAATCGGGTGTTGATAGCAACCCTTCTTTGTTGTGAGGTAGCAGATTATGAAACAATAAAGATCCAAAAGAAGCACACAAAGACTTTTGCAAAGATTAGTTTTGGAAGAAGGGTTAAAAAAAGGAAGGAATAGGGCTTGAGGTAAAGGAGAAAGGTCCCCATACAACATTGTTCCATGACATACAAGCCATTTTATTCTTGGCAAAGTGACCCCTCCTAGTTATCAAGAACCTTCAAAATCAGGGTATATTTGCTGTAAAGAAAAATATCAAAACAACTCATAATGTGAAAACTATTTACTTTTGGCAAAGTGACTCCTCCTAAGTATCAAAAACCTTATGGAATTAGGGTATATTTGCCATAAGGAAGACATTTAAAACAAATAAAAAACAACATTGAAAGCAACTCAACATGTGCAAGCTATTTAATTTTGGAAAAGTGACCCTTCCAAGGTATTAGAAACCTTACGGAATCAGTGTATGTTTGTCGTAATGTGAAAACTATTTAATTTTTGGCAAAAGAACACCTCCTAGGTATTAGAAACCTTATGGAATTAGGGTACATTTGTTGTGAAGAAAAACATTTAAAGCATATAGAAAATCAAGGTATGCTTACCGTAAAGAAAAATACAAAAAACAAACGAAACACAACATTACGAGCAGATTAGGAACTTGATATTTCAATTTAATCACAAAGTACAAAAACACTCATAAATATTCTTCATTTTTTCTTTTTTTTTCTTTTGAAAACATTTTGAAAGACTTTAGCAAAACATTTCAAAAAATTGATAGAGGTTTTGTAGTTGATATCTACTTTTTTGTTAGGTAATAAGTATCCTTCCATGCAAGAGAAAACTATGCTCGAAAAATCCAATAAAACACTTGATAAATCTGATGATGTTGTAAAGTGTTGTGCTTCCAAATGCCTCAGGTTAGTATTCTCACTCATGCTCCTTAGGGATGATGGGTAATTTGCAAATTCAACAAATAGTGTGATTGTCGAGAGTTATGTAGTTTTTGGGCATGCTACCACATGCTTAGAGAACGATGGTGGGCCTATTATCAAGTTTTCATTATTGAAGTTCTTTCCTTTTTTTTTCATTTTAAATTCATCATTTTTAATCCTGATATGTTATATTGCAATTGGAAATAAAAGAAATTAATGATGATAGAATGTACATTATGCTGCGAAGCAATCAACAATCCACTATGTATTGGGAAATCGGTAAGCATTATGTTATGCAATAATACAAAAACACGACCAGCAATAAAAAATGTGCTATGTTGCGATGCCAATAACAATCTGTAAGTCAAGAAATCAGTAAGAATTATGCTATGCGATGATGCAAAACAATGTTAATTAATTTCTTCACCACGAGGGACTTTAGTGCCATGAGGGACTTTTTTGCTATGAGAGATTTTATTGCAGCAATGGACTTTGAAACATATATAATTTAAATGTGAATTTAATATTTTTTTCTCTAAAATAGATGATTTTTATGTCTGATATGTGTTATGCCATGATGCGAATAACAATCCACAATATGCTAGGAAATGAGCAACAAAACATTGATATGTTGGCCACAAGGGACTTTAGTGCCACGAGGRACTTTAGTGTCACAAGAGAATTTGTTTCCATGAGGAACTTTAGTACCGGAATAGACTTTGAAACAGATATAATTCAAACAAGAAATTAACATTTTTAACTAAAACAGATGATTTCTATGTTGTTATGCCGCAACGCAAATAACAATCCATGGTATGCCAGGAAATGGACAGTGAAATGCTGATATTTTGGCCACAATAAACTTTAATGCCGTAAGAGAGTTTGATTCCACAAGGGACTTCAGTGCCACGAGTGACTTTGATATAGATATGATTCAAAYGAGAAAACTAATATTTTTTTGAAACATAATCAAAATAATAAATTGATGATTTTTAATTAAAAACTAATTATTTTTTATTGTAGGGGACTTTAATGCCATGAGGGACTTTGGAACAAACATATTTTAAACAAATGGTTTTTAACTAAACTTGATGAGAAATTAATGACATTTAACTGAAACATTGATCATTTCTATGCTAAAAATGTGTTATGTTTTGATGCAAATATTGTTTCATGATGTGCCAAAAGGGTGAAAAACTCGTGTTATAGAGCGGTGGAAATATTTTGACTCATGGTTTATCAAGTGCAGAAAAAGTCATGTGCTATAGATTAGAAGGGTTAGAATCCATCTTATGGACGACCAAATCATGCTAGGTGGCTGGGCAAAATTTCAAAAATTTTCAAATCCTTCTGGCAACCAATTTCTCAGTGTTTTGAAAAACTACATTTTTCTATATCGATCTTGCATTGAACCGGACAAGATTTGAAACCAAAGCAAAAGGGGAAATTATACCTGATACGAATACYACAAACACAGATCCCAAGGTGGACGTTCAGACTTAAATCAGTCCTAAAACCAGCCTTCATTTAAGATGGCGCAATGCATGATGAAGCCGGTTCAACAACACTATTTTCTCCAAAACTGCTATCCAACTTGCTTGGATTGAATGGGTTAGTGAGCCAGATCTTTCTCAATGTTTTTCTTGCAAAAACTAGAAGAAAAACTTATTAAAAATCAGTTCTTGAAAGCCTAGGTCAAATTAGGGTTTCTTAGGAGATGTTGGTAGTTGTTTTGTGTACTCAGGTTTAGTACCTCAAGGGTACTGTTGTAATTTCTCCCTTGTTTATATTGTACGACTAGGCCAGTATAAATAATAACTTTTACACTCACCCCCAGTATTCAGGAGGGTTTTCAGTCCACTCGACTCTCCTCTCTTCTCTCTTTTCCTCTCCTCTCTTCTCTTGCTCTTGCTCAACATGGTATCAGAGCAAGTCGTCCAGGCCTGAAGGGTGGTGTCAAGYAAACCTGCTGTTCAATGTCATGCAGATGGTCTCTCCATCTCCTAGAGCTGCTCCCCTCGAAACGCTAAGCTGTTGCATCCAGTTCGACCCAGAAGTTATAGTGACTTTTCATCTCCCAGAGTTGTCTCCATTGAACTCCTAATCTAGTGTACTCAATTCGACCCAGAAGTTACAGAGTCTTTTCATCTTCCAGCCCAGAAGTTGTACCTCTTGTCTGCTCGACTGTGGAGAGGCTATTGTTTGAGGTTCGTAGAGGGAGTTCTAGTTTACAGAGAGACTATCATCTGAAACAAAAAGAGGTACTGGTCATCTTCTATTCGACTGCCCTACTGATTGTCTGCTTAGCCGATTGATGGACTGTTGATTGACTGTTCGGCTACCCTATTGTTCTCATTGACTGGTTGGCTATCAGGCCTACTGATTAGGTCATTCAGACCTAGTGATGTATTGCAACTACAGTGTTTCTTTTTGATTCCTACAAAATCATAGGTCATACAGACCTGTTCTTGTACTGCAACAACAGTGTCCAGACTTTGTTCTCAGTGAAATCRTAGGTCATACAGACCTGTTCTTGTACTGCAACAGCAGTGTTCAAACTTTGTTCTCAGTGAAACCATAGGTCAGAAGGACCTGTTCCAGTACTGCAACAATAGTGTTGCCTTTCTTTCCTGTTTCTTCTCTGGGGGAGTGTAGGCATGAGGAGAAACTGGTTCAGCTTCTCTCTCTACCTGACCTTCCGCCTTTTTGTGTTTTTTCTCGTCGTACCTCCAGTGCCACCAGACTCCTTGGGGGAGGATCATACTCACTCAAGTATTTTGGCTTCCAATGATGTCCTTGAATCTATTGAAAATGATTCATCTACTGCTAATGATCTTGACTGTCCTATTACTCACAGGAAGGGGTGTTAGATTGTGCACCACYAAACATCCCATTTCCAACTTTGTTTCCTATGAGAACATTTCATCCTCATTCCGTGCTTTCCTTACCTCTATTGACTATGTCCCTATCCCTAAGAATGTGGCAGAAGCTCTTTCAGTTCTTGAATGGACAAATGTCATGAAGGAAAAAATTAATGCCCTTCACAAAAATGGCACATGGGAACTTAATGATCTTCCTAAGGGAAATGTTCCAGTTGGATGTTAATGGGTGTTCACAGTCAAGTATAAGGCTGATGGAATAGTGGAAATGTATAAAGCTCGCTTAGTGGCAAAGG